TCCCTCCCTTCGATCATTCGTGCAGTCGCTATTCAGCGGCAGACCGCGTGCCAGGCACTGTGCTGGAAACGGTGGGGGACCCAAGCTGACGCTTTGTCCCTGGTCCAGAGGAGCTTGATTCACAACGGGATGTGAGCTGCTCTGAAGCGCATCGCCGGCGCACCGGCTGAAACTGGTACCTCGCACGTCATGGGCCACCGTCCTAAGATTAGGCAACAGTTGTCTAAATCCCACAAGCCCCAGAGAGGCCGGAGGAGAGGGACTCCACTGTGGCCACCGGAAGCAGCAGGAAAGGTCACAGGCACGGTGTCCTCAGAAGCAGCCCTGGCCAACGGGCAGAGGCGGGTGTGCCCGGGGCATACGTGCGTCTGTTCCCTTCCCTTGGGGGTGTCCCCCTCTCTGCTCCCCTGCCCCTTCTGCAGCTACCTCTTCTGACCCCAGGGGCCTGGGCCTCTTCATGGTGTACTCCCCTAACGGCTTGTCATTTTTACCGTAGAAGAGATTTGAGGTTCTCACTGGACACTCAGATGTCAGATAATGGTACCACTTCTAGATTTGTGTTTTTAAAAAGGCCCGAACGACACTAACTCAAGAAAAAGTCGACACGCGTCCAATTTCCCTGCATCGTTGGGGCAGACACGCAGATAGGTCCCCTGATTTTCAGCTGGGCACGTGGTGCCCCAAACGAAGACTGTATTTCTCCGAGTGCCGCCCTGAGGCCAAGTTCTGACCAACGAGATGGAGCCGCCAGAGCCTAGGGCGGACGTGTCCGTGAACTGCCTCGGTCTCCTCCTGTGCTTTCTCCCCGCCGGGCCGTGATGCCCGCCACCCTGGGTACCACCTCGGGCCACGTAGGAGGGGTGGTTAAAGGGGAGGCTGGAAGCGGCCTGGCTCCCTGGGGACAGGAACAGAGCCAGCGTCCCAGTCCTGGACCACTGCCCTCGGGACTGATCGGCGAGAGGGAGGCGACCCCCAGGCGGAAGCCGTTATTTGGGGGTTCTCTCATGCGCAGCCAACCTTCACTTTGAGAAAACCATCCTGGGGACTTTCCTTTCTTTGTCTCTTTTCTGATGGAGGGTCACCACGAAGCTTCTCCTCGGGGTCGCTCAGACCCCGGTCGACCCCGGTGTTCTCCATCTTCACATGCACCTGCTTCTTCAGGCCCCCGCGAGCCGAGGGACGGAGGGGAAGGAACGTGGGCTGGGGGCGCACGCTGCCCAGCCGTCTTCCCTCGTCTTCCACCTCCTCGTCCAAAAGAAAGATGACCACTAAACTCTCTCACGAGTCTGCTGGTTTCTAGGACCAGGTGCGCTCGGCCTCACCCGAGCCCCGAGCCCCGAGCCCCAAGCGCATGCTGCCGGTCCACGGGACCTTGCGTGAGGGTGGAACGTGCTCACCGTAGCAGCTCCTTGTGTTTCCAACGCGGCACGTTGCTTCTGTGGCACCTGCAACACGTTTTTCTGAAAGTCAGTCGTATCCATGAGCATTAGGCTCCCAAGCCAAACCCAAACAATAAGTCAAAGATTGGCGGTTTGGGGGTTTTGGGGAAGTGCTCAGTTTCAAGCTCTCCTCCAGGCTTGGCAGAGAAGGGGACACACCCCCTCCTTAGCCCTGCGCTGTGGTGGGGAGAACTATCGCCTCCACTATTGCCTCCGAGTGACAGCGGCTCCCTCAACAGCCAGATGCGCATGAAAGCTGAGGACGCGGGAGCCACAGCGGGCGTCGGATCCCCGCGGGGCTGACGCCGCTTCTGCCGCCGCTTCTGCTGCCCCATGCTCTGGGGAAAGAAAGGCTGCGTGTCCTGAGCACGTCCGGACTCCCTCTCGCCAGCTCTCCGAGAGGAGAGGGGACGGAGGCGCCATCCTGTAGGGCAGGAGGCATCATGCGCAGTGTGGCTCGTCCTGTTGGCCGCCGCGGCCGGAGCCTGGGCAGCACCAGTGCACCGGGATGCTCCAGGCGGACGGGGCTGGACCTGGCACACACGCCGAGGGACCTGTGTCTCTTCCTGCGCCAGAAGTGGGGGGTGCGGGCAGGGAAGCCAGCCTTCTCGGGGACCTCTGACCTGCGTGCTTCCGTTCTTCCTTTGGAAAAGGCACTCCAGACTCTGCCTTTAAGTCGCGTCTTTTTTCTCCGTTAAGAAAAACCTTTGTCGCCGTCCAGGGCGTCTTCCTCAGCCTCCCTGGCTAAGCATGGCCCACGGTTCCGGGCCTGTGCACGAGCTGCCCCTCCGCCCGCCAGGCACGCCATTCCCCTCACTTCTTCTCAGGCCGATGCTTCCTTGTGCAGATGTCACCGTGTCACCATCTGCAAGAAGCCTCCCCAGCTCTCAAGAGGGGTGCGTCCCGCTCCTGTGTGCCCTCCTAGCACCCTTGGCAGATGGCAGGTGTCCCCACACGTGGGAACATAAGCTGGTCCACCACATCGTGGGAACATAAGCTGGTCCACCTCATCGGCTAAAGGGGCCAAAGCCGCTGGCAGGCGGCGAGGGTCGCGATGTTCACTGACTCATGGACAGACAGGTGCTCCCTCCCCCCCGCTCCTCCCAGGCTGTCCTGGGCCCCTCCCCCACAGCGGGACGGAGCCGCCTTCCAGCTCACACCCTTGCTCCCTCATTGCTGTGGCTCTGCCTCTCGCCCCAGACCAGAGCGCCTGTCTGCGGTGGCATTAGTGTCCCAGGTGATGCGGTACATGCAGGAGGCGACTGACGGATGACGGACAGCTGAGTCCATGGATCCAGGATAGGCTCCGTTACCCCGTGACCCTAAGACGTATGCCACTTTGGGGAACTTTTAGCACAAAACACGAAGAACCTGATGTGGGGCACCTGCCTGCTGCCACGAGCTGCGCCCACGCTCCCCGCGTCTGCGCCTTCCTCCTGGAGAGCTGGGCGGCCGCACCGTCGGGCCGTGTGGTTCAGGGCCCGGCTGCGGGGGCGGGATGTGGCCTTCCCTCTTGCTGGACTTAGCAGTTTACCCTGTGGGAGACCCAGCTGCTCCGTTTGTAAAATGAAGAGAATAATAATAATAGGATCGTATGAGGCTTCTTCAGAGACGCAGAACCCGTAGGACGCACATATTCTCACTTGTACATATAAATGTCACTTGTGGAGGCAGAGCAGTCTCACGACCTGCCACCCGCATGCCGGAGCCTGGGACAGCCCGTGGGACACTTCAGCCCGAGTCCGAAGGCCTGAGAACAGGGGGCCAACGCTGTGAGCCCTGGACGCTGTGAGCCCTGGACGCTGTGAGCTCTGGACGCTCTGAGCCCTGGACGCTGTGAGCCCTGGATGCTCTGAGCCCTGGACGCTGTGAGCCCTGGACGCTCTGAGCCCTGCCCTGGGGCCGAGAGAACCGGGGGGACTGTGGAGGGCTGGCTTCATCGCTCAGCCCGTCGTTCCAAACGCCAGTCTCCTCCAGACACACTGTCACGGACACGTTCAGAGCGACGTTTTCCAGCTATCTGGGCGTCACCTGGCCCGGTCGAGTCGGCGTGTAAAATTCACCGTCACAAGGACCTACCTCTTTAAATTGCCGCAAAGGTCATACGCAGGAGGAAACAAAACAAAGTTGACCCCTGTTCATCCTCGGCGCAGTGTCTGACTTGCCGAGTTCGATGAGTCGGTTGTCGTTTGCCGGTGCAGCTTCTCCTGTGACGACGGGAGCGGGAGCCAGGGCACGGCGACGCGGCCTCAGCAGCCCGCTCATCTATGTCGCGGTGTCCTGAGTGGTGCCAGGAAGTCGGGTACCCTGGCAGGTCGTGTCATGCCACGGGCCTGGACAGAAGGCCATTGGGGGCGCGGGACACGTTTCAGAGTCCCTCCTGGGGGGCGGCTGGGTGCGCGTAGACGGTGGGTGTGCAAAACTGAACGTTCTCATTTGTTAACGCGGGAAACACGCTGTTAGCTGGGCCGCCGATGCTGCGAACAGCCGGTTGGCCAGGAGGGTTTGCTCCCTGAGAGCATAAGATCCTCCTCGTTACTTGGTACAGGGATGCGTATAAATTAGGTTGTAATCTAGTTTATGGAAATGTTTTTTTCTTTTGCATTTTCCTGCCTCCCAGCTCCTCCCAAAGTAAAATAGATGCGAAGCGGTCTGTTTTCATTTCTTTCCTTTGGTTCGATTCCTGTAAACTATCCACATTAATGCATTATTTCCAGAACGTCATTCTGGGAAGGTACAGTACCCCAGAAAGACAAAAAGCTGGTGAGTGTTACAGGGTGTGAGAGGTTCTTTGTGGTGTGTATTGTGTGCCTACCTGTCTGCCTGCCTATCTGAGTGTATGTGACTTGTGCCAGCCAACAGCTAGGCAGCCATTGTCACAGGCACGACTCCCTCCTCCATATCCCGGCCACGTCGGAGGGAGGGACCTGGGCCACAGTGGTCAATGGATGACCCGGGCCAGCCTGGCTCCCCTGCCTGGGTCCAGAGTAAAAGAAAGTTACTCCTGCGCCCGTTAGCACTGGGGACTGCGGCTGGAGCCCATGAGACATGCAGGCCCGTGGCAGCCGTGGCTGGCTGACCCGCCTGTAGGCCGGTCTGGGCGGTGGGGGCAGCTGAGAGGGTTGGGGGGTGGGGGTGCCGAGAAGGAAGCGCAGAATGCAGAAGCCGCTGTCACTTCAGTGGGCGGAACTGGAATCCGGGCCCCCAGGCCCTGGCCCAGCACAGACCCCGGGAGGCCCGTGTCTGCGGCACGTTGTGTGACAGCCAGAGACCAGTGTCCCCAGCCCCGACTGCTCCGCGTGTGTCCACTTTCCTTGCACCGGACTTCAGGGGGAGGGGCTCTCTCCGGTTTTTTGTTGGTTGGTTGGTTGGTTGGGTTTTTTGCAAGTGAAAGAGCTTTTTCTAAACCATTTAGTGTTAAAGAGACCTGGGCTCAAAAAATCAGCGAAGGCGTGGTGCTGGGGGAGGACCCGCAAAAACAAGCCCCATCACGCCTGCCCCCCCACCCCCCGCCCCGGACCCAGGGCCCTCGCTGTTGAAATGGACATCACTCAACGGGAAATGGTGCGGGTGCGGGGAGCGCAGTACTATGCGGGGAGCGTGGGGGGAGAAACCATCTCATTCGAAGGCCGCGCAGACTTGGAAAGGTAGAAGTTAGGGTGACGGGAGAGATGTTTTCACGCATGAGCCCGAAGACGCACCTGACCTGTATCGTGGTCCCCAAGGCGAGAACCAGGAAAGGGCCGCAGTCCGGAGGAGCTGGGCTTCCGCTCGGAGGTCCCCGGCAACGGCCGGTCCCCTGCGAGGTCGGGGTGCACGGCCCCAGGAGGAGGTCGATGGAGGTCCTGACCCTGTTCCAGGAGACAGGTGTCTGGATGAGAGGGCCTGACATCACGGCCAGCGCTCTCCGCAGTGACTGCCCGTCACCTCGGGCCCCTCGGCGAAGGCCGCAGGAGGAAGTCGGAAATTAAGCAGACCATCAAGTGGACGTTCCTCGAAGGTCCGGAAGGTTTCAGAATCCAGCAGGAAAAGGCCTGTAAAATGCCCCGGGTTCCCATCTCATCCACGTTTGTCCCTGAGGCCAATAAGATCAGGCCTCTCTGACAGTCAGATGACCGAGTGGGGACTCCCCTTGCTGCGCCGAACCTCTCAGAGGGGTGTCCAATTACCTGTTAAGTGGATGGAAAATTCTGGAAAGGAACTGTATTTCCTAAAGCCTCCTGTCCTCTGCTCTGCAGTGTGGTCACCTCTGCTTTACACCTTCCTCGTAACACGCTGGCCAAGTCCAGGGGAGACCGGAGCGACGTCCCAGCTCACTCCCCGCCACGCTTTCTGGACTTGCCGGTCTGCCAACGTCCAAGTTGGGAAAACAGCTCGGCAGAAGGCGACTTCCAGAAGCCTGCCGGTCAGGGCCTGGTGACCAAGGTGACGGGGAGGGAACCTGTCACTTCCACTGAGGGCAGGAAGAGTCCACCTTCACAAGGGGGTGTTCTGAAAAAGGTCCCTTCCCCCTCCTTTTGGGATTTTCATACTATGTCCTCACCCAGGACAATTATTCAATGCCAGACCCAGTGAAGCAGGGCACTGCCGAATGACTTTCAATGAAGGTAACGAAGGGATATTTCTCCTTGTCCCCATTCAGGGTCTCTGGTCACCAGAGAATGACTTAGTTTCCTATCAAAGGGACAGAATGACACCCTGTGGAGCGCTCAGGCTTCCAGGATGGCTGGACGGTCGGGGGGCACCCAGCCGGGCCGTGTTCGGGGTTCCCCGGGCGCCCGCCCATGTCCTGCTGCTGTGACCGGTGCGTCGGGCAGCACTTCCCAGAGCGCCCCGCTCCCGGCCTTGCCCCCCCCTGCAGAGCTGTGCACCCGGCTGCTGCTGCTGCTGCAAACAGCCGGCCACGGAGCCCTTTCGCTCAGCGCTGCACACAGAGCCTGCTGCCAAGATGAGTCACCACGTAACGCACACCCTCGCCCGCTCCACTCCGCACTTAAAATACTCCAGGGCGAGCCAAGCAGAGCCCTGCTGTGTGCGAGCACAAGCGACCTGTGACCATGGCCTTGGCCTCGGCCCTCCTGAGCCCTCTGCAGAGCAGACTGCACTGTGTTTGGCCAAGGGGTTGAGAGCTGATAGCTTTGGGGGGGCGGGGCTCCGATTTTCAGGTCCAGATCCCCCTCATGCAGCCTGCCCTGTCACACTTCCTCTTTTGCAGGCAGATGAACCTCCATTTTAGCCTGTTTTCTGGGTTTGAACTTGCCATCCTCACTTGGACAGAGGTCCCTAACCTCCCTGGGCTCTGCTGCCATTCCT